GACCCGAGACGTTGCCCAACCACCTGATGCCGTTCACTCTTCGTCTGGCATACGTGGTCCACCACCTGGGTTTTCATCACGCGGTTCTTCAAGCACTCCTAGCGCTCACCATTTGCCTTATAAGGACGCCGTATTTATGGTAGATGACCTGGCGCATCGGGAAAATACCCTTTCGAGCCATGCTTTTTCCACACGGGTTCATGCATCGCCATCCAGTCCATACACACTCGACAGTGGAAGAAATACCAAAGGCTCCGACGCATCGAACGTCGCACGCTGCAATGCGCAAGAGCCTCTTATAGTGAACAGGGTAGAAGAAGCTTCTGAAGAACTTTCTACCAATTCCGAAGCATTATCTTCATTGCCCGAAGTGCATGACAACAGCCCACAAACTACCAGCTGCCGACTGGGCCCCACATCAAGTTGTGAAGAAAACGAGCGCGATGTTCAAGAAGGGATCTCACCGCAATGCGTTCCACAGCAACATCAGCAACGCCAGCAAAAGCAAGTCCAAGAATTGCAGACACTCCAACGGATACACCGACAAGGACGACGACGCAAAGTCAGCCTCTTAAAACAAATTCAAGACGTCAGGCATCTTTTCATAAGGGATCGGCGCCAGAAACGCATTTGGCACAAAATATCAAGACTGCACCTAAGATTACAGCTCCGAAACCTCAGGAATCACCGAACAAGACAAGAAGTCACCAGTTATACCACGCAACGATTCAGACACCATCCCATTAGTTCACGACAACGGAGCCAACGCCACAGAAAACTACAAAAGAGACTAAACGCTATTATTTGTACAATGCACGAACATAGACATAATTCCTTGAACTTCAGTTCTTGTACACGCAGGCTGCAAGCACTACTTCTGTCTCAGCCGCGACACAGAATACAGCGCGTACGACAGAGGATTCTGCGCCTACGACATTCGACCTTAAAATGCTCCAAGGACTTCCAACGTTGTTCGTTCCTCGCAGGTGCTCAAGTCACGTCATGGTCAGTGCAGTTTTGCAAGACGCGGTTACCTTCTCCAGAACGCCACAGCCAACCTCGCCCACCAGAACTCCCCCAATTACCGGGCTGCTGCACTCTTTTCTGAAGTTTTGCGAGTTTACAGAACACCACGGGGCCATGAAACCAATTGTGCATTTTGACATTTGTGACTTCTCAACCTCTCCTTGTTTACTTTTTGTTGTGCGTAATCCATGCCTTCTTTCGGGGGGAGGGGGAATCGTGTGACGTATCAATTGATGGTTAGTAGAGGTCGAGAAGGAAGAAGTGCAGAGTAGAATAAACATGGTGTATGAGCCAGGCCACGTCGCCCATTCTTCATAGCGTCTCTCTCTCTCTCTCTCTCTCTCTCTCTCACACACACACACACACACACACACACACACACACACACACACACACACGCACACGCACGCACGCACGCACGCACGCACGCTCGCTCGCTCGCTCCACTCGCTCACTCACTCACTCACTCACTCACTCACACACACACACACACACACACACACACACACACACACACACACACACACACACACACACACACACACACACACACATACATTATATATATATATATATATATATATATATATATATATATATATATATATATATATATATATTATATATATATACACTGGTTTTTTGTTGCCGGTCTTCGGCCAACAGAAAAATATCATGTTTACAAGAAAAGACAAAGCACAATGGAGAACTTTGCTAAATGACCCCCTAATAAGACGTGGTCAACGATACGTTGAAATGTGTCTAAAGACAATAATGATTCAACAAGTGCAAACCACTGTGACGTGAAATGCTGCGAATTCTGTACCTCCACCAGATCTCTTATTGTTTCTTTAAAGCATTGGCAAGGCGCTCTGGCATTCTCATCGAAGTGTCTTACATCCATTCTCGATTTCCAAATGCTATGAAGAGCTATAAGCATGATCATGTCATAAGGCGTACCGTGATCACTTTCTGTTGTCAAAAAGCGGATTCCATGGGCATCAAGCGGAAAATTTTTTTTTGATCGTGCGCTGAAGCACATCCCATAAGAAGACCGCATCCCAACATTGCACGAATACATGTTCAATGGTCTCCTCCTTTCTGCATAATATACAGTGCGTGCCCCAGGGAACAAAAAAAACCTGTTTCAGCTATCCAAGATTTGACTGTCAGCGTGCCTGTGTGCAGTTTAAAAAATGAATTCTTAATATCTGGTGGTAATGGCATGGCCTTAACGCGTTTCATTTCGTTAGGACCATGACCTACTCGGTAAAGAGACCGATACAAGGGCATGGGTAGAGCCACATCAATGCGATCCTTGTACAGTTTTTTTTCGGTTTATTTCACTCAAGTATTCGAGAGAAAACCGCGCTGACAGAAACCTACAAGAGAGCACAACTTCGCAAAGAAAGCCGTAAACGACTAAGAGAAAGTTGCTGGTTAATACTACCGCGTTGGACAAGTGATGCACCAGGTGAAGGTGACAGTAAGTGTGCAGAAACGAGTTTCTCAGGTCCCGCAGAGAAAAGAAAGAACGATTGGCAACCTGTCTCAAAAACAAAAGGGTCAAGCGAAGTCCTCGATTACACACTTGAAGAAATAAATTTGTCTGACTTGTTCTTTCCCATGACGATGCCCACATGAACACTTCAAACACACAGTAAAATTTTTGGATGTTAGCCCTTGAACAATGTAAAACACTAAAAATATACCAAATCTTACTCACTAAAAACAAATTGCATAGTGTGGCTTTTGAAAACATCGACCTATTTACTCTCTCCCGAAATGTATCCACTTCGTTTCTCCAAAACGAATCCCTGTCTCTGAAGCATTCAAGGGGGTCATCTATTATCTATTTCACCGGTTTGGAAACAAACGGCATAATTCGCAAAAGTGTCGCGTGTTTCTGGCCAATCACCGTGCAAGAACCCTGGGCATTCGCTCCAGTTTACTGAGCTACCGCTGGCAGCGCAGGTACTTTTAATACATTTTACTGCCTGCGTTACACCGTCTGAATCGGTGTAAAACATAGCAATATCGTCCGCATACGCAAAACGTGGGGCTTAAACCACGTGGGGGTTGAAGCCGTGAATACAGCCATTCTTTACGAAACTGACACAAAAGTACTTTATGTACAAAGGAAACAATTGTGACGAGAGGGCAACGTTGGCGAAAAGAACTCTGCACTTGGATGCGCTCCCCCACATTCTTATTAATGATTGGCCGCAGTGGGCACTCCTAACAGGCCATGACCACCCCATCTCTTATTACTGTATTTCAATTCACATATATCCAAGCATGCACAACAAAATTTCACGATGTATCCTGTCGAAAGCTTTCCCGAGGTTGATCAGGAGCATTGCCACTCGTGCGTCATAGCGTCGAAACCCTCGAGGGAACTTCTTGCTGCGTATATATTAAAGATAGTCCGGCCTTTAATCCCGTATATCTGATACGGAGCCACTAGCTTTGTAATGACTGTTTGCAACCTCTTAGATATGATTTTCATCAATATCTTGCAATCTTCATTAGTGAGGCAAATCGGGCAGTAAGAAGTAACTCTGCCGAGTGCCCGGGGTTTTCTGATTTCGGTATTAGAATAGTGTGGGAGGATGAAAATGACGGGGGGAATACTTTCAGCTTGAACGCCTCATTGTATACGTGAGCTAAGACTGGTGAGATTGGTATTGTCAAATATTAGAAAAAGGTTAAAGTCAAACCATCAAGGCCCGGGGCTCAAACCCATGACCATGAGATTAAAAGATTCATGCTCTACCGACTGAGCTAGCTGGAAAGACAGCACCTGTTTCAGTTTGCGTCACCCCGTGCGTTTATGGTCAGAAACCTTAAGTCAAAAAGCAAAGGAGAGGAAGGCGAAAAAAGATTGGACAAAAATCCGTGTAACAGATCAGAAAAATAGTACAGCGCCCAACGTGGGGCTTGAACCCACGACCCTGAGATTAAAAGTCTCATGCTCTACCGACTGAGCTAGCCGGGCAGACAGCACCCGTTTCAGTTTGCGTCACCCCGTGCGTTCATTATTAGAAAGCTTAAGTCAAAAAGCGAAGGAGAGGAAGGTGAAGAAAGATTGGAAAACAATCCGTGTAACATGAGAACAGATCAGTAAAAAAATGCAGCGCCCAACGTGGGGCTCGAACCCACGACCCTGAGATTAAGAGTCTTATGCTTTACCGACTGAGCTAGCCGGAAAAACAGGCCCCGTTTTAGTTTGCGTCACCCCGTGCGTCCATGGTCAGAAAGCTTAAGTGAAAGAGCGAAGGAGAGGAAGGCGAAGAAAGATTGGACAACAATTCGTGTAACATGCAAACAGGTCAGTAAAAAAATGCAGCGCCCAACTTGCGGCTTGAACCAACGACTTTGAGATTGAAAGCCTCATGCTCTACCAACTGAGCTACCCGGGCAGAGAGCAACCGTTTCAGTTTGCTTCACCCCGTGTGTTCATGGTCAGAAAGATTAAGTGAAAGAGCGAAGCAGACGAAGGCGAAGAAAGATTAGAAAACAATTCCTGCAACATGGCAACAGATCAGTAAAAAATTCAGCACCCAACGTGGAGCTTGAACCCACGACCCTGAGATTAAAAGTCCCATGCTCTACCGACTGATCTAGCCGGGCAGACAGTACCCGTTTCAGTTTGCGTCACCCCGTGCGTTCATGGTCAGAAAGCTTAATTCAAAGAGCGAAGGAAAGGAAGGCAAAGAATGAGTTGAAAAAAATTCCTGTACCATGGGAACAGATCAGTGAGAAAATTCAGCGCCCAACGCGGGGCTCGAACCCACGACCCTGAGATAGTGTCTCATGCTCTACCGACTGAGCTAGCCGGGCAGACAGGCCCTGTTTCAGTTTGCGTCACCCCATGCGTTCATGGTCAGAAAGTTTATGTCAAAGAGCGAAGGAGAGGAAGGCGAAGAAAGATCGGAGAACAATCCGTGGAACAGATCAATAAAAAAGTGCAGCGCCAAACGTTGGGCTTGAACCCACGACTCTGAGATCAAAAGTCTCATGCTCTACCGGCTGAGCTAGTCGGGCAGACAGCACCCGTTTCAGTTTGCGCCACCCCGTGCGTTCTAGGTGAGAAAGATTAAGTCAAACAGCGAAGGAGAGGAAGGCGTAGATAGATTGGAAAACAATCCGTGTAACATGAGAACAGATCGGTAAAAAAAGCAGTGCCCAACGTTGGGCTCGAACCCACGACCCTCAGATTAAAAGTCTCATGCTCTATGGACTGAGCTAGTTGGGCAGACGGCCCCCGTTTATGTTGGGTCACCCCTTCAGTTCATGGTCAAAAAGTTTAAGTCAAAGAGCGAAGGAGAGGGAGGCGAAGAAAGATTGGAAAACAATCCGTGTATTATGGGAACAGATCAATAAAAATTGCAGCGCCCAACGTGGGGCTCGAACCCACGACCCTGAGATTAAAAGTCTCATGCTCTACCGACTGAGCTAGCCGGGCAGACAGTACCCGTTTCAGTTTTCGTCATCTCGTGCGTTCATGTTCAGAAAGCTTAAGTCACAGAGCGAAAAAGAGGAAGGCGAGGGAAGATTGGAAAACAATCCGTGTAACATAGGAACAGATCAGTAAAAAAATGCAGCGCCTAAATTAGGGCTTGAACCCACGACTCTGAGATTAAAAGGCTCATGCTCTACCAACTGAGCTAGCCGGGCAGACAGCAATCGTTTCAGTTTGCTTCACCCCGTGTGTTCATGGTCAGAAAGATTAAATCAAAGAGCGAAGGAGAGGAAGGCAAAGAAAGAGTGGAAAACAATTCCTGTAACATGGAACAGATCAGTGAAAAATACAGCGTCCAACGTGGAGCTCGAACCCACGACCCTGAGAATAAAAGTTTCATGCTCTACCGACTGAGCTAGCCGCCAGACCGCCCCTGTTTCAGTTTGCGTCACCCCATGCGTTCATGGTCAGAAAGTTTAAGACAAAGAGCGAAGGAGAGGAAGGCGAAGAAAGATCGGAGAACAATCCGTGGAACAGATCAATAAAAAAGTGCAGCGCCAAACGTTGGGCTTGAACCCACGACTCTGAGATCAAAAGTCTCATGCTCTACTGGCTGAGCTAGGCGGGCAGACAGCACCCGTTTCAGTTTGCGCGACCCCGTGCGTTCTAATGAGAAAGATTAGGTCAACAGCGAAGGAGAGGAAGGCGTAGATAGATTGGAAAACATCCGTGTAACAAGAGACAGATCGGTAAAAAAAAGCAGTGCCCAACGTTGGGCTCGAACCCACGACCCTGAGATTAAAAGTCTCATGCTCTATGGACTGAGCTAGCTGGGCAGACGGCCCTGTTTATGTTGCGTCACCCCGTCAGTTCATGGTCAAAAAGTTTAAGTCAAAGAGCGAAGGAGAGGGAGGCGAAGAAAGATTGGAAAACAATTCTTGTAACATGGCAACAGATCAGTAAAAAATTCAGCGCCCAACGTGGGGCTCGAACCCGCGACCCTGAGACTAAAAGTCTCATGCTCTACCGACTGAGCTAGCCGGGCAGACAGTACCCGTTTCAGTTTTCGTCATCCCGTGCGTTCATGGTCAGAAAGCTTAAGTCGCAGAGCGAAAAAGAGGAAGGCGAAGGAAGATTGAAAACAATCCGTGTAACATGAGAACAGATAAGTAAAAAAATGCAGCGCCCAACTTGGGGCTTCAACCAACGACTCTGAGATTAAAAGTCTCATGCTCTACCAACTGAGCTAGCCGGGCAAACAGCAATCGTTAAGTTGCTTCACCCCGTGTGTTCATGGTCAGAAAGATTCAATCAAGAGCGAAGGAGAGGAAGGCAAAGAAAGAGTGGAAAACAATTCCTGTAACATGGGAAACAGATCAGTGAAAAAATTCAGCGCCCAACGTGGGGCTCGACCCACGACCCTGAGAATAAAAGTTTCATGCTCTACCGACTGAGCTAGCCGGCCAGACCGCCCCTGTTTCAGTTTGCGTCACCCCATGCGTTCATGGTCAGAAAGTTTAAGACAAAGAGCGAAGGAGAGGAAGGCGAAGAAAGATCGGAGAACAATCCGCGGAACAGATCATTAAAAAAGTGCAGCGCCAAACGTTGGGCTTGAACCCACGACTCTGAGATCAAAAGTCTCATGCTCTACTGGCTGAGCTAGGCGGGCAGACAGCACCCGTTTCAGTTTGCGCGACCCCGTGCGTTCTAAGTGAGAAAGATTAGGTCAAACAGCGAAGGAGAGGAAGGCGTAGATAGATTGGAAAACAATCCGTGTAACAAGAGAACAGATCGGTAAAAAAAGCAGTGCCCAACGTTGGGCTCGAACGCACGACCCTCAGATTAAAAGTCTCATGCTCTATGGACTGAGCTAGCTGGGCAGACGGCCCTGTTTATGTTGCGTCACCCCGTCGGTTCATGGTCAAGAAGTTTAAGTCAAAGAGCGAAGGAGAGGGAGGCGAAGAAAGATTGGAAAACAATTCTTGTAACATGGCAACAGATCAGTAAAAAATTCAGCGCCCAACGTGGGCTCGAACCCGCGACCCTGCGACTAAAAGTTCTGCTCTACCGACTGAGCTAGCCGGGCAGACAGTACCCGTTTCAGTTTTCGTCATCCCGTGCGTTCATGGTCAGAAAGCTTAAGTCGCAGAGCGAAACGAGGAAGGCGAAGGAAGATTGAAAACAATCCGTGTAACATGAGAACCAGATAAGTAAAAAATGCGCGCCCAAACTTGGGGCTTCAACCAACGACTCTGAGATTAAAAGTCTCATGCTCTACCAACTGAGCTAGCCGGGCAAACAGCATTCGTTTAGTTTGCTTCACCCCGTGTGTTCATGTCAGAAAAGCTTCCATCAAAGACGCGAAGGGAGAGGAAGGCAAAGAAAGAGTGGAAAACATTCCTGTAACACTGGGAACAGATCAGTGAAAAAATTCAGCGCCCAACGTGGGGCTCGAACCCACGACCCTGAGAATAAAAGTCTCATGCTCTACCGACTGAGCTAGCCGGGCAGACAGGCCCTGTTTCAGTTTGCGTCATCCCCGATGCGTTCATGGTCAGAAAGTTTAATGTCACAGAGCGAAGAGAGGAAGGCGAAGAAGATCGGAAAACAATCCGTGGAACAGAATCAAGAAAAAATTCAGCGCCAAACGTGGGGCTTGAACCACGACCCTGAGATTAAAAGTCTCATGCTCTACCGACTGAGCTAGCCGGGCAGACAGTACCCGTTTCAGTTTTCGTCATCCCGTGCGTTCATGGTCAGAAAGCTTAAGTCACAGAGCGAAAAAGAGGAAGGCGAAGGAAGATTGGAAAACAATCCGGTAACATGGGACAGATCAGTAAAAAAATGCAGCGCCAACGTGGGGCTCGAACCCACGACCCTGAGATTAAAAGTCTCATGCTCTACCGACTGAGCTAGCCGGGCGGACAGTACCCGTTTCAGTTTGCGTCATCTCGTGCGTTCATGGTCAGAAAGATTAAATCAAAGAGCGAAGGAGAGGAAGGCAAAGAATGAGTGGAAAAAAATTCCTGTAACATGGGAACAGATCAGTGAAAAAATTCAGCGCCCAACGCGGGGCTCGAACCCACGACCCTGAGATAAAGTCTCATGCTCTACCGACTGAGCTAGCCGGGCAGACAGGCCCTGTTTCAGTTTGCGTCATCCCGTGCGTTCATGGTCAGAAAGCGTAAGTCACAGAGCGAAAAAGAGGAAGGCGAAGGAAGATTGGAAAACAATCCCTGTAACATGGGAACAGATCAGTAAAAAATGCAGCGCCCAACGTGGGGCTCGAACCCACGACCTTGAGATTAAAAGTCTCATGCTCTACCGACGGAGCTAGCCGGGCGGACAGTACGCGTTTCAGTTTGCGTCATCTCGTGCGTTCATGGTCAGAAAGATTAAATCAAAGAGCGAAGGAGAGGAAGGGAAAGGAATGAGTGGAAAAAAATTCCTGTAACATTGGAACAGATCAGTGAAAAAATTCAGCGCCCAACGCGGGGCTCGAACCCACGTACCCCTGAGATAAAGTCTCATGCTCTACCGACTGAGCTAGCCGGGCAGACAGGCACCTGTTTCCGTTGCGTCACCCCATGCGTTAGTGGTAAGAAAGTTTAAGTCAAAGAGCGAAAGAGAGGAAGGCGAAGAAAGATCGGAGAACAATCCGTGGAACAGATCAATAAAAAGTGCAGCGCCAAACGTTGGGCTTCAACCCACGACCTTTGAGATCAAAAGTCTCATGCTCTACCGGCTGAGCTAGTCGGGCAGACAGTACCCGTTTCAGTTGCGCCACCCCGTGCGTTCTAGGTGAGCAAAGCTTAAGTCAACAGCGAAGGAGAGGAAGGGTAGATAGATTGGAAACAATCCGTGTAACATTGGAAGCCGATCGGTAAAAAAAGCAGCTGCCACACGTTGGACTCGAACCCACGACCCTGATGAATTAAAGTCTCATGCTCTATGACTGAGCTAGCTGGGCAGACGGCCCCCAGTTTCAGTTTGCGTCACCCCGTGTCGTTCATGGTCAAAAGTTTAAGTCAAATAGCTAAGGAGAGGAAGGCGAAGAAAGATTGGACAACAATTCGTGTATTATGGGAACAGATCAATAAAAAATGCAGCGCCCAACGTGGGGCTTAAACCCACGACGCTGAGAATAAAGTCTCATGCTCTACAGACTGAGCTAGCCGGGCGACAGTACCCTTTTCAGTTGCGTCATCCCGTGCGTTCATGGTCAGAAAGCTTAGTCACAGAGCGAAAGAGAGGAAGGCGAAGGAACGATTGGAAAACATCCGTGTAACATGGGAACAGATCAGTAAAAAATTGCAGCGCCCAACGTGGGCTCGAACCACGACCCTGAAGAATAAAGTCTCATGCTCTACCGACTGAGCTAGCCGGGCAGACAGTACCCGTTTCAGTTTGCGTCATCCCGTGCGTTCATGGTCAGAAAGCTTAAGTCACAGAGCGAAAAAGAGGAAGGCGAAGGAACATTGGAAAACAATCCGTGTAACATAGGAACAGATCAGTAAAAAATGCAGCGCCCAACGTGAGGCTCGAACCCACGACCCTGAGATTAAAAGTCTCATGCTCTACCGACTGAGCTAGCCGGGCAGACAGTACCCGTTTCAGTTTTCGTCATCCCGTGCGTTCATGGTCAGAAGGCTTAAGTCACAGAGCAAAAAAGAGGAAGGCAAAGAAAGAGTGGAAAACAATTCCTGTAACATGGGAACAGATCAGTGAAAAATACAGCGTGCAACGTGGAGCTCGAACCCACGACCCTGAGAATAAAAGTTTCATGCTCTACCGACTGAGCTAGCCGGCCAGACCGCCCCTGTTTCAGTTTGCGTCACCCCATGCGTTCATGGTCAGAAAGTTTAAGACAAAGAGCGAAGGAGAGGAAGGCGAAGAAAGATCGGAGAACAATCCGCGGAACAGATCAATAAAAAAGTGCAGCGCCAAACGTTGGGCTTGAACCCACGACTCTGAGATCAAAAGTCTCATGCCTACTGGCTGAGCTAGGCGGGCAGACAGCACCCGTTTCAGTTTGCGCGACCCCGTGCGTTCTATAATGGAGAAAGATTAGGTCAAACAGCGAAGGAGAGGAAGGCGTAGATGATTGGAAAAACTCCGTGTAACAAGAGAACAGATCGGGTAAAAAAAGCCGTGCCCACGTTGGCTCGAACGCACGACCCTCAGATTAAAAGTCTCATGCTCTATGGACTGAGCTAGCTGGGCAGACGGCCTTGTTATGTTGCGTCACCCCGTCGGTTCATGGTCAAGAAGTTTAAGTCAAAGAGCGAACGGAGAGGGAGGCGAAGAAAGATGGGAAAACAATTCTTGAACATGGCAAACAGACAGGGAAAAAATGCAGCGCCCAACGTGAGGCTCGAACCCACGGACCCTGAGATTAAAAGTCTCATGCTCTACCGACTGAGC